CAAATTATTTGAAATACCCTTTCTCCATTTCACTGCGTTTGATTAAAGATTGAAATCCAATGAAATAATTCTTATTGTTGTAAAGTCCAATACAGAAATGAATATAGCTGAGATTTCAATGAATGCATGGCATATTTTCTCGATTTTGAGATGTTTCTGCCAATGTATCTGTTTGGCCATCCAACAAGGTCTTTTAGACTGCACTTTTTCATACTTTTTTTTATTTTTTCATTGTTTAACACAAACATGACAAATAACAATCTAATTTAAAAATTAAGTTTCCCGCACGTTTCTGAGCCACGTAAAGCTGATTATGCTGTATGATTTTGCTAATTGTTGAAGGTCAGATGGTGACCTATAGTTGTAAACTTTGTCATTTGTTGTCTGGTGGAGAGTTGAGTTGGCAATTTTACTTCAAGTCTTGTACATGTATGACATCTTCTTATTCTTATATGCATGTATATTTGTTTTGAGATAGATTATTAGTACATGTAATTAACAACAATTCCCTTGGACTCTGGCGCTTCATTAATACAACATGTAGTATGAAGAACTAGCATTATGGCCAAAACGACTGTAAAATACTGGCAATATGACCAATACAATCTGTTCTCGGTTAAATGAGACAAATTTATGTGCTACCATGGCTATGATCAACTGCTTCTGCAGTTTTTTTTAACTTTGCTCATGTATATTTAAGTTTCATATTACTGCTTTGTTACTGTTAGTCATGTGTATGTGTTGATATACTGAAGTTTAAATGTATGATCCTGCAAATAAATTTTATTTTATTTGATAAGGCATACATGTACATCTTTGCCTGGTCAGATGCGGATCCAGGACTATGGAAAAGAGGGCCCTGCATCTAGACACCATAAGGTGTGGGAATAACTTCTTAAGACATTTTTGTAAGATAGAGGCATTGCATTAATTATATAAGTAGCTCCAACAGCATAGGTGGATCCAGGGGGCCTAGGCCCCCCTTTTGTGGGAAAAATTTAGTTGATTATATAGGGAATCACTGAAGAATGACTGGAGCGGGCCCCCTCTTAGGTCAGTCAGTGGGCCCCCCTTACAAAAATTTCTTGATCCGCCATTGTACAGGGGGATAACATGTCACCCCCTAACTGATTTCTCATGTGTTATAAACATCTTTATTATACAACACTGCCAACATAATAATTATAATATAAATTAGGTGTTTAATGGCATTAAATACTATAGTATAGACTATTCCATTTATTGAAGCCTTACTACCACTGCATGCTTAAAGTTATACTAACCTTTGTATGCAGCAGTAATATTTCCAATGTGCGAGAGTTTTTCCACCTGGTCCAGCATCAGAGCTACTAAGGGAAAACAGACTAAAACTTTTCAGTCAGAACTGTTTTCAATAACCTCCCGGACAACTGGAAGGTACAGTTGAAACGGCAGTGACTTGCCAAAACCAGTCGGGAGTACAGCCACGCACTTCTTCTTGTTAACTAAACACTCTAAAATTTCCTTTTGCTCCTTCTTTATATCATTTATACCAAATTTTGTCAAAACGTTGTCCAAACTGGGCGCATCCATGTTATTTAACGATCCGATAATGGTATACAAGCCCGTCGCTGATTGGTTACCCGAAATTGATTTTCTGCACGCTGATTGGTCGGTCAAAGTTCACCAAATTTGACCCTAGACATGACCCTCAAGCGGCTGTTGTTAGATCTCCCACGCGCGACATATAAACAACGAGGAGCAAGTGCGGAGATTTAATTTTAATTAGATTGCCTGGGAACATGCAGATATATCTAATATATATATGTTCCTGCATAAACTGAAAAATATATTTATTTTTAACAACATTGAATAATCTTGTTGTCACATAACAGGCATAACTGGTAGATATGTAAAAATTTAATTGAATTGTGTGAATGGTTATTTGGTGAAAATAATAAGTCGCTAGTTTTTTATCTTCAGGGGATAAAAAAAGAGGGAGGGTAATTAATTTGATTCCAACTGGCTTCCAATGTATACTGTATAAACATGCAATAATATTTCTATTGAATTTATTGCTTCAAAATGTCTAGAACAATTGATTCTTTGTGGATTTTTTTGATACTTTTAGGGGATTAAATGATTAAATGGAGCTGCCAATTTTGAAAGTAAACGGATTGCATGCAGATTCCAGTTACCTTAATTTTACTCAGCAATACTAGTTGGAAGTACAGAGACAGTAAATTTAATTACAGAAAGGAGGAGAACTTCACATGTATCCTTTATATCTGACACACATTTTTAATTTTATAATATTTGAAACTGAACAGCGAGCATCATTAAGCCATGGTGAAAACTGCGTATCTAAATACAATTAAGACAATGAAATGCTTGAAGGTGTTAGTGAACATGGGGAGGAGGGGTGGGGTGAGTACCATATTTAATTAATGGGTAATTTAACAATATAAGCAGCCATTAAAAATGGCAAACAAGTTTGCTAGTAGTACTAGTATCTATAATTTTGATGGAAGTTTAAGGATCTGACATTAAATACAAGTACATTTTTTTTTAATGGGAACTTGACAGCCATTGAAATAAGATATTAAACATGGCCAATACAATGTAATTCATGCCGCAATGTTTATATATACGTGACAGATTTGATACAACAAGGGCAATATTCATCTACCTTATAATGAGTAATAAATGTGTATATTCCCTCAGAAAATGCAAAATCGTAGCATTTCGGGAATCCCGCCAAAAGTCCGGGATTCCCGATGTAAATCCCAGTGGAAATATACTGGGATCCCAGTATATTTCCACTGGGATAAAATTTCGGGAATCCCGCCAAAAGTCCGGGATTCCCGATGTAAATCCCAGTGGAAATATACTGGAATCCCAGTATATTTCCACTGGGATAAAATTTCGGGATTCCCGCTAAAAGAGCGGGATCCCAATCAGAATCCCAGTATATTCCAATCAAAATCCCACAATATCCCAGTGGGATCCCAGTATATTTCAACCGGGATTTACATCGGAATTCCCGGACTTTTGGCGGGATTCCCGAAATTTTATCCCGGTGGAATTAGGTGGGATCCCACTTGGAATCCCATCAAAATTCCAGCTGGGATTTCAGTGGGATTCCAGATTTATTTTCTCTTGGGTTGGGGGTAGGGGGGGGGATCCACTTCAATATCTTTCACTGTTAGGCGAGGGTTAAGTGCTAACAAACATAATTAACCTGATAACATTCTTTGTGTGTCTGTCCCAAGTCAGGAGCCTGCAATTCAATGGTTGTTGTTGGTTGCTGTCTGCCATACATGTATTTGTTTATGCTTTTTTGTATTAACGTAAATCAAGCTGTATATTTTTTCACATTTTGTCATGCCTGGACAGTTTTTCTTAGCTCATTTTTGCAATAAATAAAAACATTGTTAAAATTTCTAAATTTACAGTACATAAGAATATGGAGTTGTGAAAGAATTTAACACAACTAAAAAAGGATTTCATTTTTCTATTTGAAATTATTGATGGATGGATGGATGGATAATTGGCTGTTTAACAACCAGTGGCAAATTAAATGCATATCTAGGATGAGAACATGATAATGTAACGAAAACCGAGCGGTCGGGCCTTAGTGTTAAACTATAAATATTTATCCCTTAGTGCGTTGCTATAAGAATGTGTTATGTTAGAATGAACGAGTATATTAAAAAAGTTATATCTGGTGACTCTTATTGGGTAGCGTGGACTCTGGTATCGTGGTACTATGTGGTACTCTGGTATCGTGGTACTATGTGGTACTCTGGTATTCTGAATACACACTGGTAAGGTTTGGTTCCTCTGGTAAGGTAATGACTCTGATATAAAAGGGTAGATTGGAGTATAGGTTTTTGTATGGTAACTCTCGATGTTTGTAAGAATAACAGACTCGTTAAATAAAACTCAACTTGTATTAACTTTAAGATGTATTAAATATCAACAATACATATAAATATTAAATAACTTAACAGTATTTTAGACTTACAGATAAATACTTTATTAACCTTTTATCGTGAATTAAAGAAAATGGATAGCGGAAAAAAATATACCCAGAAAGTTTACTAATTGTAGTTTGGTAATCGGCAAATGGTAAATCAAATTCAATGCCAAAAGATAAAAGTTTCTCTCGAGAAGTTATTCTCTAAATGCAACTTGGAAAGGAATTAACAAACCCACATTATACGGACGTCGTCTCCTCGGACATTGTAATAGTGTTGGCTGTCTGGTTAACTACTTGGTCTGGTACATGGTATCTGTACGTATATCAAAATAGCATGGAATTAACGTGTGTTACTTGCCCAGGGTAAAATCGTGCTAAAGACTTATCTGTATTCTCCGCCGTATTTATACTTAGGTAAACCAATTTACCGATTTGGTTTACCATTTACCATTTCGGTTTACCATTTACCATTTCGGAAAATACCTAAATTACCAAAGCCGGAACTGGTGATTACCAAAATAGGTAATGACGTCATTGTACGTCATTTTAAGTACACAATGCACAGGTGTTCCTATGTAAAAACATAGGCAAGAATAATAAAAAGTTTTAGAGTTATCAATGTTTAAACATAGTTATACAAGAAATATATAATAAGAAAAGTCAATTATCGGTAAGATACAACGTCATCACACAATTTTAGGGGAAACAAGTTGCAATTCAGGGGACCCACATTTCGTTACAATAATATGATATGAATATAAACCCTGCTAATTGTACTAGACCAACAGGCTGAGACTGATTTTTAATTTACTAGTTCACTAGGTAACAGGCCACAGGAATACATGTCATCCTTCCCGGACATATTATTTGGACTCCCAGCCGACCAGTCTTTGCTCTACTGCTTAACAGAGAAGCAGCCAATACCAATTTCCAAGTCTTTGGTTTGACCAGGCTAGGGATCAAAACCACAGCCTCCTCATTCTAGGTAAGTATGAGACCACCAAGGCAGTCAAGTAATTAAAGTATGATGCATATTTACTCATTCTATTCTCTGCCCTGCACTCCTAACAAATAACAGACAGTAACAAGGAAGGCTTGTTTATTTTTCTACAATGGAAAAAAAGAATTCCATTCAATTTTGCACTCTCAGCAAAATATCCAGCTTTTCAACTTTCCAACTACGAATAATTTTCCTTCATGATTATAGATGGTCCAGTGCTCCCTGTTCAGTTTTTTTTTGTTTTCCTGCATGTGTTAATTTGGCTAACAGCAGGTCAGGTCCAAGATAATTTCAGTAGTTTACACTTCACTAATTCTATTGTTTCTTTCAGATCACTCATCTTTAACTAAGTGTCCACAACACTCCCTTTAGATGTCTTCTGATATTTTGTGTCTTTGAGTTGCTGTCTCAGTGACGTATACAACTGACCTTTTTTTCTTTATACAGATTACTAAGTGATAATTTAAAAATGTATGTAAGAAAATTTTAATTGATTAATTCATTTTAAAGAAAAAAAACTTTTTAGTATATTCCAAATTCTGGTAACCGTTTATTTTTTTATACGACCGCAAACAAATTTTGAGGTCGTATATTGGTATGACGTTGGCTTCGTCACCGTCGTCCGGCGTCGTCCGAAGACACATTGCTTTTCGCACTCTAACTTTAGTTTAAGTGAATGGATCTCTGAAATTTTACCGTATAAAGGTTCAATACCACAAAAGGAAGGTGGGGATTGATTTTGGGGGTTATGGTACCAACAGTTAAGGAATTAGGGGCCAAAAAGGGGCCAAAAATAAGCATTTTTGTAACTTTCAGACATAACTTGTGTGTTAGTGTATGGATCTCTCTGACATTGTACCACAAGGTTCCATATCACAAAGGGAATGCTGGGATTGATTTTGGGGGTAATTGCCTCCAAATTTTAGGAATTAGGGGCCAAAAAGGGTAAAAAAACAAGCAGTTTTCTAGTTTCATGACAAAACTTGTGTGTAAGTGTATGGATCTCTTTGACATAGTACCACCAGGTTCCATATCACAAAGGGAATGCTGGGATTGATTTTGGGGGTAATTGCCTCAAAATTTTAGGAATTAGGGGCCAAAAAGGGGCAAAAAACAATCAGTTTTCTAGTTTCATGACAATCACTTGTGTGTAAGTGTATGGATCTCTCTGAAATTGTACTGCAAGGTACCATACAACAAAGGGAAGGCTTGGATTAATTTTGGGGGTAATTGCCTTAAACGTTTAGGAATTTGGGGCCAAAAAGGGGCCAAAAAACAAGAATTTTTCTAGTTTCCAGACAATAACTTGTGTTCAAGTGTATGGATCTCTCTGAAATTGTACTGCAAGGTACCATACCACAAAGGGAAGGCTGGGATTGAGTTTGGGGGTGATGAATCATAAGGGGGTTCAAAAAATTTGGGGGGGATTTTTTTTTCCATTTTTTTCTTTAAAATTTTCCATTTTAAATTGGTTATTTCTGATTTATATATAAAAGCAAATAATAATGATATGGTTTGAATAGGTAAATTAAAAATTTTTAAGTTCTTAGACCACATTCATTCTGTGTCAGAAACCTATGCTGTGTCAAATATTTAATTACAATCCAAATTCAGTGCTGGATCAAGCTTGAATGTTGTGTCCATACTTGCCCCAACTGTTCAGGGTTTGACCTCTGCGGTCGTATCAAGCTGCGCCCCAGCGGAGCATTTTATTATTATATAATACCTACATTGTATTTTCATGTAATTAACAATTTCTTGTATATTTTTTCATTTTTAATTTTCCTCCTAAAATCTAAAGAACAATGAAGAATGTTTGTTTAATTAACTTTGTAAATTATACATGTTATAGTCATATAATGAAATATAACTGTCTTATATCTATATAATTAATATTACAATTGATGCAGCAAGTACCAATATGTTTTCTTTTTTACTAAAACTAATTTTTGGACATATGTCTTTGGAACAGTTTTAATTTTGGTTCTTATCAAACATGGATCCTTCTTTGTGACAGTAAGTTTATATTTGTTGTTCATCATTTGGTTGGTGTTTTGTTGTAAAAAAAAAGTCAAATTAAGGAATGCATTCACAGTAATCATTGTAAATTTCATGAATCAAAGTTATCTTGCTTTTTTTTCTTGTCCTTGCAACACAGTAGCAAGGGCATATATACAGATCATTGTAGATCATACTCTTTTGTCGAGGCAATTCTAAAATTGGTACCAATAAAATGAAAATAAATGATTCAACAGTAATTTAATAAGAATATCTCAATACAACTACTTTTGTGCAAGTACTTCAAAAATAAATGCATTACTTGGATAAAAAAGGTAATAGTTTGAACTAATGAAAATAAGCCATAAAAAAGAATTAGATAAAAAAATTGAAACAACATTGAATATTTAATTTAAAATCATCAATTAGTAAAGTAAATAAACAACAACTGCAACAACAAAATTCTATGAAAAGTATATACCAGTAAAAGATGTATATTTACATAATGTAAAATATAAAAGTTCTGACAAAACATTTTCACAAGTCAGTTGTCAGAAATTCTTTGTTAATAAAATGTCTTCATATATGGTCTTTAAAGCTCAGTGATTTTAAAACTGTTTTAAGATGTTAAATCTCCTTTCAACTGACAGTCTGTTATATGCATTATTTTGTGTGCTCAATTGCTATAAGTCTTTCTTTATTTTCGAATGCCAGAGCTGGAAGAGAGGCCGTAATTGTTAATTTTCCAGTTTCACTTAGCTTAGAGGTCAAAAGTTCTGGATTTACTTCTTTGGGCAATAGATAGCTTCTCAAATATTCCTTTCTAGATGAACGATTCTCATCCTTCTCTTCGTGTTTTGCATGAACAGTTAATTGCTGGCCAGATGTTTTTACAGTTATTTCTTCTGGTTTGAATTGTGATGTGTCATATTCCAAATAAAATTTTCTTCTTCCTGAACGATCTTCAGTTATAGGATTATCCATCCGAAAATTTTCCATTAACCTCCAATTTTCTGCTGATGGAGCAAGGAAATTATCTCCCATTTTAGCAAAGTTATCGTCTGCCACTCTACGTGAAACAGCCCAGTTTCTTTTCATTTCTTCATTCATTCTGGCCATTTCTCTTTCAAAACTTGACCACATTTGGCTTCGCATTAATGGTCTGCTTTCAAAACCATATGGCATACTATAAAAGTCATCATATCTAGAAAGTCCATTTTCATATGGAATAGGATCTCTGTAGATTGGTGTATGTCTTTCATAACAAGATGGCCAAAAGTCTGGTTCATATCTTATGGGCACATCTCTAGATACAAGTGACATTTTTTTTCAGCTGTTATATATATGCAAACAATCTCCTCTAAATCCAATATAAATATGAATTTAACTTTGATAACAGAACGAACACACAATGTCAAAATAATTAATAAACTCAAAAGCTGTGTATTCCAAAATATTTCATAATACTGAAAATAGTTAGTGATGAAAAATATATAGCTGATAGTCTTGAAGAGGTCAAGAAATTTTCAGAAGATCACTAAACAAAATTTATAAGAGACCTAGTATTTATACACAAGTACCAATAGCGTAATTCAAGAAAAACGTAAATTATGTTCCAGAAAGATCTACTCTAGAGTACAAACTGATCTCTATAGCCAATTTTCTGCCTTAAGCAATAGTTTGTTTGTAATAAAGTAAATTTTTCATCATTTAATATTTACGCCTGAGCAACCTAAGAAACTTACAACTTGTTTATCATCACGATATGTATATAATATCATTATTCAATCATTATATCAAAAGATTATAACAAATGGGCATTCTTACCAGTATTTGTAGGGATGCATTTTCTTAAAAGGTTAAATAAATTAATCTGCAACATCAAATAATAGTTGCAAAAACTGCATATTAAAGCTGTTATTATAATAAAAAGTGAAATAATTTATCACAAAATTACCAAAATATATTGATATAATGCATCATGAATTATAAAGTATCATATAGATGTAGTTGCAACTATAATAAACTGTTGACACAGAAATATGTCTCGCCATTATGTAATTTTGATAGTATAACAAAGGTGGAAATTAAAATGGCAATACATTTTGTACTTTAACATGTAAACTACATGTATACAAAACATTCAAAGTCAATGAACCATGATGAGAGAGCAGGGCCATATAATCTCCATGGAAATAAGATGTGCTAATGCTTAATACAACTGCATACCAAATATCATTAGTGGTTCATCTTAAACTTAGATAACAAAAAATTATAACAAAGTTTAAAAGTCAATCAATCAAGACTGTGGGGTTTGGGGTCAAATAATCTCTATGGAAATGAGATGTGCCTATGCTAATACAACTGCATACCAAATATTATTGACCTACAAATGTACCACTAGTGGTTTCCTTTCAACTGACTTAATCACAAACTTTATGAATGTAAGCTTTTTACTATATAAATATTTATCATTTTTTTTATATTTTTTTATTTCAAGTATTTTTATTTGAGTTTCAGTTTTATTAGGCCAAACAAAAAAGTATGTGTTTTTAATGTACCCCTACCTACCCTAATTTTTATCCCCTACCCTAAAGTTTTTTTGACCATTTTTGATTAAGCACTGTTTTAGTCACAATGTTGCTCCCATAGACTCAATGTAAAAAAAATATTAAAAATAAAAAAAATTACCTACCTATACCTTTTCAGCATGTAACAGTAAACACAAATACTTTTTTGTTTGGCCTTAGTAAAAAGGAACAAAGTGACTTTAAAGGGGAATGGCACACAAAGAAAAAAATAGCGCCATCAGTTCTTTTGGTCAATAATGAGGGACTATGAAAGAGCTTTTATGTTTCATTTTGTATAATAGGAAAGTAAAGACTGGTGGTGTTATTAACATCATCTATAGGAAATAATGTGAAAAATGAATTGTGTTTAATGCCGATTAAGTTCCAATCCGCTTAAGAATCAGACAGTGGTGACAAAATGACAAACAAAAACCCACCAAAGTTTACATGCATGTAAGTTCAAAATGTATAATGATGTACAAATATAACATTCTTTTCCTTTTCCAGTTCTGGTATTTCAAAATATAATTTCGTTGAAATGTACTAGAAATTTACAATTAAGGGGAACTAACTCCATAATTTGCCTTTGTACTAACAAAAAGTCATCTAGAGACTTCTCGAATTACCAGACACTCAGAAATGAAAAACCCACCATTTCTAACTCAGGATGAGGGTAACTTCAAAATATAATGATTAGGTTGGCAGGGTTTTTTCGGCCATATTTTGAAATTCTTCTAAATTGCCTGATTCTTATAATTACAAAGACTGGCACTTAAACAAAGGGGATGCACAATATTGTATCAGTTTTGACTATCAGTGCTTATCCAACAGTGTGTATCTGACACAATCCTATAGCAATCCTTTAGCAATCCTATAGTAATCCTTTAGAAATATATTCATCAATTGGGTCTGGAATACCCACACTGATCCAAAATTCTGCTCTTTTATAACTTCATCTCTTTAAGTAAAATGCTCCATATTTTTCAACTTATTCAAGCCAATAGAACTTAATTCACATCATTAGGCAGCCAATTACAACTTACTCTTGTTGAATAATAATTTCAAGATGGCAGGTATATATTGTCTGAAACTAATAGCTTGGCACCATGACTAGAAGTGACAAGAAATATCTCAATCATCATTATCATGAAAAATATTCTTCCCTTGTTGCTATTATCCAAGGAGGAATGGGCTCAATAAATTCTTCTTTAAAATATCATTGAGAAATTCTTCAAAAGGTTTGCCCTGTTTCCCATGTAACCAGAACAAAGGAGAGTACCAAAATATAACAACATCTGTGATGAAAATATGTTGTGTTTAGATTTTGTGAGCTGTCTAAAAGGTAAAAATACAAATTGCATTACATTTATGCTTCTTTCAAATGGGAAAAAAATACAAATATAAGTGGCTATCCAATGGCCACCAGTAAACAATCTACTGTAACTAATAAACATGAAAGAGTACTTAAATCATCAATCATTGTAATGTAACAAACAAAGTTTGCTGTCAAAAATAATAAACTGTTAACACAGAGATATGTCTTGCCTATTTGTTATTTTGATAATGTAAATGTTGAAATTAAAATAACAATACTTTAACATGTAAGTTATGCAAATATTTAAAGTCAATGAACCATGACTAAAGGTACAGGGCTAAACAATCTCCATGGAAATGAGATGTGCCAATGCTAATACAACTGCATACCAAATCCCATTGACTTTCATAAGTTGTTCCCTTTAAAGAAACCTAAACACAAACATTAACTTGTAAACTAAGATAAAGTTTCAAAGTCAATAGACCATGACTGAAAGGGCTGGGCCAAATAATCTCCATGGAAATGAGATATGCCAATGTTTATACAACTGCATACCAAATATCATTGACCTACCACTAGTGGTTCCCCATAAACTGACCTAATCACAAACTAATACATGAAAACTAAGCAAAGTTTCAAAGTCAATAAACCATGACTGAAGGGGCAGGGCCAAATAATCTCCATGGTAATGAGATGTGCCAATGCTAATTCAACTGCATAATAAATACATTGTTGTTGCCGATAGAAACAGCATACCTATGTCTCACTTTTTGACTCCGTCAAGGCGAGACAAAAAGTAAACAACTGCACAGATTGAAAAAAAAATATACATGAAATGTGAAGTAGCATGCTACTTAATTCACATTTCATGTATATTTTTTTTTCAATCTGTACCATACATACTATGGCCCATGTAAAATCTGGTTTTTCTAATCTCACACTTCTATACTTACCAAGTTTACCTGAAAAGTACTTTTCAATCCATTTTTGTATGAACAAGCAACAGTATGATATTCATACACATGAAAGGAGCCTGTATCATTGAATTAGATCTTATGGTAAAAACATACAGCAAGAAGCAAAATCTGTGAATCTATGGTAATGTGTCCAATAAGGTAAGTCATGTATAGCAATCTCACTAAATAAATTACAATGAATTCCTGGTAACTAACATGATTTAATTATTGTTCTTTCAGGAATGGCAGTTGATACGTGTATGACGAACTAGAAGATATCAGGGTAGGGTCAATGTTACTCTCCATCTTTAAAATTTACATGATTTATATTATATAGTTTTATTTAATATCTATCTTTAACACAGATTTCCTGATTTTTTCAGTGAAAATATTCAAACTGATCATGATCAAATTATATAACACAGAACACATATTTTTCAGCATATAACTTACAGTCAGGGGTACTACTTGTACAAGTAATTTTTATTTACTTGAAGAAGTAAATATTAATATACTTATATAAGTAAATTTGTAGGATACTTATACAAGTGTATTTTATTTACTTGTATAGGTAAAAAAAAATTGGGCTTAGTTATGTCCCTTAGACATTCAGATTTTTTCACTTACACAAGTAAAAAAGACATCCTATCTTCTTTTCTTGAATTCTTATGACTTCTTTGCTCTAATAGAATTTTTGATTGTCTGTCCTTTGCAGATGTCTTTACTAATCATTTAAGTGTAATTACATGGACAATGAAAATCTCATTTGTCTGTTATCTTCAGAACACTGTTCATTTACAAGGCCCCAAGAGGCAATTTTTGAAGGCCTTGCGCAAATACTTAAGATCTTTGTGCAATCAGTTTCTTTGTTGAATTAATGAGATGAAACATTGAACTCTATTCAAAAATTATGAGCTAACCTGAGAAAAATTGTTAAAGGCATGTCTTTACATCTCAAAACTTGAGAATTTTTGTGGGAAATTTACTTATACAAGTAAATTTTTGAGAAAATTAAGGGGAGATTATTCAAATATTATAATTAACTTATATAAGTTTATTTTATTTACTTCTTCAAGTAAATAAGGATTACTTGTACAAGTAGTACCCCTGACTGACTTAGCAATATCAATTCAAAATATGAATGAAAATTGGCCTACAGGGTAACCTACTACATTGTACACATATGATTAAAGATACTGATTTGATATGTTACTAAAATAAGGAAAAAGGTACAAGTGTAACTCTTCTTATTCTTATATGCAAAGGGAATTAACTCTTATTGCTCTAAATTAACTATCAGGCATTTCCTTTATTAAAATCTCCAGGGAGGATTTTAAGCACAAGAGGACCTAATGAATGTCTTAACATGTCTGTCATGTCATGAGATGTTTTCATTCTGCTGTACAAAAGTTTTTAATGAGTATAATAAACTGTTATCATGTAGATATGTCTCGCTTTTTTGTAGTTTCGATAATGCAAATGTTGAATTTAAAGTAGCAACACTTTCACATGTAAGTTTGCAAATATTCAAAGTCAATAAACCATCACTGAAGGTAAATGGCTAAACAATCTCCTTGGAAATGAGATGTGCCAATGCTAATACAACTGCATACCAAATACCATTGACTTATCATTAAAGTAGTTCTCTTTAAACAAACCTAAACACAAACTAATAAATGTAAACTAATCAAAATTTCAAAGTCAATTAACCATAACTGAGGGGGCAGGGTCAAATAATCTCCAGGGTAATGAGATGTGCCAATGCTAATACAACTGCATACCAAATATCATTGACCTACCATTCTTGGTTCCCAATA